GAGGACTTCGAAGTTGTCGTGGAAGCAGTAGCGGGCCAAGCTGTTTACGCTTCGGAGTGTACTCAAGGAACGGGTGAAGGCGATTCTGGAGCCGGCAAGAAGAGGTCTAACCTAGTTGGGATGGGCCGCCGCGTAGGAGGCGCTGATCGTAGGGTTCGACAGTCCGGATGCGATGTGATGATTCAAGGCGACCGGTTTGGGCTAGGAGCGGATCCGATCGTGTTTGTGGTCCATATCGGCAGCTTGTTGAATCGGGCACCGCCAGATTCGGATGACGCGCCAAGGCAGCAACTGTTAGTGGCGCAGTTTCTGGACGGATTACCTCCAACAATAGCGGGTTGTGAACGCCACCCAGAGAACGGGCGTGGTGGAACTTGCTCCAGTGGCAAGTGAGTTGGTACAGGAGCCAGCTACGGGATTGCGAATCGAAGACCGAAAAGATACTGAACGATTGGACAAGTTAGAAGTTGGAGCAGATTACGCAATACATCGAAGCACTTCAATTTACCCGTCAGAGGACGCGGCAAACTCGGCGACGCTTTTGTGGGAAACTGGATGCGGTAGTGCCCACCAACACGAAGTACACTCTTTATACCAAATATACGTTACAGTATTGTTCTCGTGTTGGAGAGTGCATATTTGGGGCCCTGAACAAAGGTGCAATGGTAAAGGTGATTGAAGCAACAGAGAGGTGTTTAATCGATACAGGAGCCGCAGTCTCCCTGATCAACCATTGAGATGAAATGAAAACCCAATATTGTTCCATGGTGGTGAAGGCAGTCAGTGGTTACGATATACGCGTAAATGGTATGGCGGAGCACGTGGTACGTATCGGGAGTCATAAATTCAACCATTTCTTCGTCGTGTCGCCGGACGCGAAACAGACCATTCTGGGAGCAGACTTTCTCCAAGCCAATGAGGCCATCGTCGACCTGAAACGAGGAAAGCTGATGACGAAATACGGGTCTATACCTCTCGCTGGTAGAGAAGGATCCACACGGGCATGCTCAGTCGTTGACGTTTTACACACTAGTATGGCCCTCAGTCGGTCGTCGGAAAATACAAACTTCTCTTCACAGACGATAACAGCCCCTACGGGTTTTGTGATTGGCTCGAACACACAATTCCGCTTTCGCGGCAGCCGTATTGGCCGCATGGACGTAGAAGAATACCAATACACCTGGAGGCCGAGGTCAAAAGTCAGGTTCAGATGTTGAATACGGGTGTAAACGAAGAGGCTCACAGCCCCTATAACTCCCCAGTCGTTTTGATGCAGGTCAACAAAAAATACCGCATTGCGTGGACTTCAGAAATTTGAACGAAATCTCGCTGTATCGTTTTGTTCCGGTGCCACCTCTTAGACAAACCGCAGAATTCGAAAATATCCATGGCACTGGATTTGAGATCTGGCTAATAGCAGCTAGCGATCAAACAGGACCGCGAGAAGACTGCGTTTACAGTTAGCGAGAAGCAAAACCAATTTAAAATGATGCCGTTTAGGTTATCTGGTGCCCGGTTCATTTTCCGGCGTTTGATGTTCCGCCTGTTGGATGGGTTAGAGAATATGGCCGTGTACGGAGAGAACATTGTGATATACAGTACAGAACGGCAGAACACTGCCGTCATTTGGAAGCAATGTTCCAAAGGATCCAACAGTCGGGATTACGGATAAATGGTCTTAAATCTCAAGTCGGGAAAACGTCCGTGACACATTTTGGTCACAAGGTGGGTCAGCGTGAGCGAGGCAGCCCAGTTCCGACTTCGAAGCGCAGTCTTGGGAAGCGCCGGATACTGTTGCAAATTCGTCAGGAATTTAACAGTTTGGCGTCACTCTTATAGGCCTCTTAGGAGAGGTGAAGAAATTCATGTGGACACCAGAAGCTCAGCAAGCGTTTGACGAAATCCAAAAAGAAATGGGAACGCAGGATCTTACGGCGAAATTGACGATCACCGGAGAAACGTTCACGGTGATTGTACCAAGGATACGGAGCCTAAAATATATACGCCGTAGGAAACCTAAACTAGAAACTACGGAGCAATAAACCTAAACTTAACGCACGGTCTGGGCAGAAGAATAAAACGAATTATCCTGTAACATGTCAAAGTAACAGAGTAATATGGATGACCTTGAAACGTCAAGGATATGTCAGTGATCGAGATGTTAAGCGTGCCTTATTTGTCGTCTCCACCTGCGCTGCTATAAAATGCTGTCCGGCTGCGGTCAAGGATTGCTTTTGCCAACAACTACATGACCATTCGCGTTCCTCTAAAAAATCTGATATTGTCATTCTTGCCGGACACTTAAACGCATGAGTGGGTCGCTTGCCACCAAGCGACCACCACTTTGGGGGTGGTTTTGGCCTTAATATCAGCTGATCAGACAATGGAGACAGACTGCTCTCTTTGTTCTAAAAAACGTTAGTTTCTTTCGAGTACGGGCCTTAGGCACTCGAAGAGACAGACTGCTTACTTGGCATCCGCCTTCTCAAACGCAAGAGTGATCACAGCTTGACCACATAGCAATAAGTAATAGATGGTGTGGAAGCTTAAGATTGCCGATCGTACTGGTCAATTGTCTGGACTCCGATCACGCATTGGTTCGTGCAAAGTTATGCACGTGTTTTGGGGGACCGCCTTGGCGTATAAAATATACAAAAGTATGACGTTAGCGAAATACCAAGCCTCTCTGGCAACATTGCTTGCCTCAGCTTGTGACGACGACCTTAATTCACAATGAATGCGCATCAAAAATGCTTGTTTCTGCTGCATTGATAGTTGCGGAGTTGCCCATCACCCGCCGAGAAGCTGGATCACCGCTTTCCTTGTCGCTGCTCAGTCCCGGCCGATGTCAGCTGTAGGGAAGACTGTCGATCCCTAGATCAAGAATCGCGCAGGAGTTTACAAAAGGACCGCGAAACGGTGGTGTTAAGGTGCTAGAGAGATGGAACTCGCTGGTCCCTCTGGTAATAGCAGAAAACTCTTCAATCTCATCCGAGTCACCAAAAGTCGTAGGCGAAGCAATCTGCGAAGAGAATGCCCACTAATTATTAATATTCAACAACTGTTGGAACGATTGGCTGAACATTTTGATGGCCACCAGCTCCATCTGCTTCCATTGGAGCGCTCACTGGTGCTGAGTGGTCTATCCCCAAAGATACCCGTCTAACCACGGAATCTGACAGAAACTCCGCCTCTTGCAGCGTTAAGAAGCACTCGGCCCTGAGGACTTATCTCCCGCTCTATGTAAAGATGGTGGCTATTCGCAAGTTAGAGAACCCATCACTTTGTTCTCGGAAGTCTGGGCGAAAGAGGAGGTTTCATCGTCTTTGGATGAGTCAGTAGTCGTCTTCATCTTCAAAAAGGGTCTGCGCACAATTTGCCCAATTACAGGGGTATCACCATGGTTCCCGTCGTCTGCAAGGTTCTGGTGTCCATCATACTTTGCTGATCCACTGTCAAACTTGGAATAGGATGACAGCACAAACCTCCTGGAGTCGAACCCGGCCGTCATACGAGCGCCAGTGAATAGGCTGAAGTGTGGCGTCACATCCATAAACTGTAAAGTACCGTTACAAGATTCGGTCGCCAAACTACTAGTCATCAAAGTAGCCACTCGGAGCTGGCCATCGGCTAACTTACCTAGGCAGCTGAATTACCTCACAGAGACCCTTGTATTCATCGGTGAGACTAATATAATTTGTCAAAGCCTGTGACTTGCGGATGTAGCAGAAAAGAAGCATGGTTACTAAGGGACGGGTTACGACTCTGCGATATTATCGCTTCGAACAGAAGAGTCCGACAGCGTTCAAACACGAACGCCTGAGTGAAAAACACTGAATGTCAACGGTTTAGTAACAAACTCGCTGATGCCCCATTGAAATGTCCGTTGAACTCGAGCCACTCACAAAGGATAAGCGCTGTGCCCCGCACGCTTCCTGATGTAATATTTATCAATGCTACGCCTAGCGAAATGAAACCCCATTGTGGGCAATCAATTACGTGGCAAGAGAGTATGCAGAAACCCACTGAAACATTAAGCAGGACTGATGTTCTTCTCGTAGTGCCCAGTGGGATCTTCCTGGTCAACCCCACCAGTGGCTGACTTTAGTATCCAGTTTTCACTGGATATTCCATCTGAAGATGCTACTGCTTCAATCTACATCAGAAATCATTATTAGTGTTTTGAACACGTAAGATAGCGCAGCTGGATTTAGCGCACCCCGCTGTGTAGATATTAGTTGAGGAATTAGAGGGAACATCTATCACCATCGTGTGCATGTCCATTACTGACGGAGCGAGCGAAAACGGAACCGTGGTCGTAACTCTGTACTCAAGTTTACGTAGCGTAATAGGTAAAGAGTAGGGAATCCGAGGTGACCTATGCGAATACGGTTGAATGAGATCCGCAAACGGCGGGAGTATTTGTGGCAAAAGACCCATTAAACGAATAACGGAAAAGCGCGGCGACAGGAGCAGTGTGGATGCACAGCATCAGTGTGAAAGCAAGATGGGTGACGGAATCCAACTCAGTGTTTATCGCTGAAGCGCGTGCTAATATGTGAATGGATCCTAACGGAGGACAGAACGAAAGAATTCAGAAAGGCAGCAGCAGCAACAGCTATACGCATGAACTCATTCCACCTCGAAAAAGAGCTGACAGGAGGAGGAGGACGGGGAAAGAAGCCATATGGATGGCCAAAAAGAACCCGCTCGTATCCCCTTCTCAAATGAGAATGAAATAAAGTATGAATGGATGAATATTGGTCTCAGAGGACTACTTGTCAGATCGAAAAATGATCTTCGCGTGTCGGCGCTTGACTATGAGCACGCGAGAAAAATCGAGGCACCATGATTGGTTTACTGAGTTGGGGGAGAAGGGAAATTTACAATCGGGAAAGGTGCCGTTCAACAGCTGGAGGAAAAGAGATCACTGGACACGTGATGGAGATGGATAAAAGTGGGGGAAATGAGCCACTCAGAGGGACATGTGAGACAATGGGCTATTGTCCTTTGTCCGATGCACGTTTCTTCTCGTTCGCCTCTTCCGATTTTTTCGAACGGGGATCCGGATCGGCCGAGCACACAGCTGCTCGAATACGGGAGAGGAGAAAACTGGGAGTGGTGTCAATCGCACGTCGACCACCTAGCACAAAGAGGAAAAAGAAGAGTGGGCGATGAGATGATCAGCCTCAGTTCGCGTTCGAATAGCGAGCTGTCGATTGCTGAATGGGTCTAGACAAATAGTAAAATTTTAATTGTACTTCGTCGCAGTCCCGCAGGTTCCTACACGTCTGAAAAAGCACCAGACAACTGTTTTGACATTCTGGGTCTCGTCAGTGGTGTGCGTTCCTCGGACTCCTGAGGCGTCCCAACCCCATGTGACTTCCAGACGCCAGCACCTTGTGCCACTAAGCCATGGATGACGGCAGCAGATCTGCATGACTGATAGCTGACTACGATTAAGCGCGGCTCATCCTCCACTGCGAGGCCAGTTACGCAAACTGCAGAGGATAGTGGTTGGCCCCCGAGAGCTACGACTTTCCGTAGAACGAATGCGTACGACACAATAACGCACCGTAGTTGAAACACAACAGCACTGGTACGTTGTGGACCAGGCTATTTTACATCAGTTTGTCGGTTTAGATGTGGACCGACTGAAGCTAGAGTGATCGATGGGTGCAAGTAGTAGGCACGTCGGAAGCACCGTAAAAGTAACGACCGGGTAGAGAGGAAAACCATAAAAGAAAAGAGGGTAAGTTTGTGTCCATGAAATATTGCCTGTTTCCCCAAAACTATTCAATAGCTATGCAAGAGTACAAGCACTCTCTAGCGGAAGTTTGTTAGAGGACACAGGAGCCCTATCACCCGAAACACATTTTGGCTATCCAGTATATGCTAAACCGAACTACAACGGGTGTCACGTGAAAACACTTGACTGTTGAACGAAACGTTATGCGTACCTATTTGTTACGAGAAGATTTCGATGCCGCATCATACAGCCATTTAGCGCCTTCGGATAATCGTTTCAACCAGCCTTCACCGGTGGTGTTTTCTGTCTGACTACGTTCGGAAGCGCTTGAGCGATCATGTTCATCAGTGCGAGTGGATGAAGTAGACGAACCCGTATAGCCTAGCAGTACACGTCGCAGCTTGTCCAAACCTGAGGAGGAGGCGAAACGAAGTTATTAGTTAGACTGGTATAGATCCGCGGGACCGAACCGGCGGTTGAGAGGAAAAGCAAGCATACGTTAGTTGTGAACGGGTTCAAATTTGGCAGTCGCATGAGTACGCATCCTAGTGATTTGACTAAAAGTGGCAATCGTTCAATTGAATTTGGATTGCTGCGGAAACGTCTGGATTTACGACTATCAACTCGCCCTACAAGATCGAGTGTTGTGATGCAAACCAAGGAGAGGTTCAGGTGGATGTGCCGAATAAATGGCGAGTGGATCTGGGCCAAAAGCAACTGAAGCAACAGAGCATCCGCTTGTGGTTCATACAAGTATAGTCCACTTGGTATAATTCAAAAGAAAGTGACAGCGTCATCAAGACAAAGTGCAATTAGCACCGCCATGGACTCAAATCAACGATGCATGAATGAAGGCTTGAGAAGCTCACCATGTTAGTAGAGTTAGAGTTTCAGTGCTGTTGCCGCTTTTCTTTGGACACAGGTCGAACCTCCTATGAGGGACGAACAGCAAACGGCTCTCGAGAAGGAATGCACGCATTCCAGGGCATGTGGAGGTAGTGGACACATACTGCATCTAAAATGTTTACGGTATCAGTTTACAAGCAGTTCATGCTAGAGTACTTCGCTGAGGTGTACTTAGGCGCGTCAAACTAGACCACGAAGGCCATGAGGACATTGGGCGGTTTGTCACAATACATAGACATGATAACCGTCTGTTATAACTAACAGAGCGGAATCAAGTAACCTGAAAAGCTGTACAGTCTTGGGTAACACCCTGCAGTAGTCCCCCGAAACCGCCTACTGGATGTGGGGGCTCGGCAGTCCCCTTAGCTGATAATAATAATAATAATAATACGTATATTTCTCTTGGGGAGAGAAACTGTGACTAAAGAACAAAACAGCAAGTCAGACAAGGACGCACGTCATAATAGAAGTGATCCAATAACAAAAAACTACCACTTAGCACAAAGCGAGTAGACTCAATGTAAGCACCGAACACCCAACGAAAATCGTTTCGATGAAGATGATGACTGTTGCGTGGTAAGTGACTTGTTTCACATACGACAGTATTCTTTCCTCTCACAAATTTGGCTAAAGATCAGCACTAAGGCGGCAGTAGAGTAAGTACACGGTCACTAGTCGTTTCACCAGACTCACTATCCAAATAACCAGTTTAGTGAAGGTTGTTTCGAACGTCCCTCTTGAATCAAGATGAAAATAGGAATCCACTTGAGGATCAAGCACCCCTCCATGAAAACGGCCGGTGACCGAGTGGTCTGCACGTTTGCTTTGCAACCATAAAGTCACCGGTTCGAATCCGCGTAGAGGTGGGCGTCCTCGCGGTATACTCAGCACGCGCGCGACTGGTGGTGGTCGCGCGGCAGCGAAGCGCCGTTACGGAGTTCAGCTAACACACCATGAAAACGGCATGTGCATGGCCATTGATACGAAGTAATTTTCTGTCACGGGATTTGGTGAGGAACGGAGACTTTGACCTCAGAACCCGGAAGAGGATGAGGTCACAAGAGGGGACCGAATCGCTCGAAATTGTCACATTATACTTCCCTATCTAGTTTACAGAAGCATCGCGGTTGCTCGCTATCCACTCCACAAGTTAACAAAACAAGTCGCTGCAAGAGCCCGAATTGGTTTGCTAGGCTTGTACGGCAATGAATCAATCACAGAAGTGAATAAAAAACAAAAAATGAAAACATAAGGGCGATGATGGATTGCGTTTTCTTATTAAAGACGCAATGCGATTGCTGACGAATCTAACTAAACGGAAAAGAGTGTAAGGAACAGGTGCGTATATGGATTGTGTAAAGAGGGAAAGAACTGTTAAAATGGTAACAATGTGTCAGAATTAGGAAGAGCAAACGAGAAAGCGGATCTCGGCTAGGTGCTGCCATGGCGTTTGGCAAAGTTGATGTGTAGAATGACACCATTAGATGAAACGAGATAACTATTCGAAGATTTGAGTTTCGAACTACCAAGCAACACTTGGTCTAACTCGGAAGTGGTGTCAAGGGGAAGCGGTAAGTGGAAAAGCAAACGTTGGACGGTATTTAGACGTAGCATGTGTGGGGGTGTGTTACGGTCCTGGCCATTAGCATCATAATCATCAACAGCAGTACATCAGGCATGTGAACTTATGCTTCGCTGCCATACAACCATAACGACCTACTGAGCGAAGAAGAATAAGAGAAAAGGGACTTACCGGAAAACCTTAATGCTCTAAACAAACATTCAAGGTGAAGGCGGCCACACATTGTCAACAACATGCCATCACAAACAGCTGGTTACTGTGCAAAAATATAACGGCATCAACGGGAAAGCTTCCTTGAAACTTTCACTGCCCCCCGTCGTAATCAGAAAGAAAGAAGAAAGGCATCAGCAGTACGCCGGTACGCAGCACTGACACTTCGCTGCCGCGCAATCACCACCGGTCGCACGTGGGCTAAGGATACTGCAAGGGTCGCCTTGCCCCTACCCGGGCTGGAATCCGCGCCGCAACATTGAGACAAGCTCGTTACCTCTAATCTACGGGCCGGCGCGTCATAAACAGCCATTACCCCGCAGATAACTCAGCATCAAACATACGTTAAACAGGCAGTCCGACTATGACACGGCCGCAGACGCGTCACTGGTGCCGATTACGAGCCATGTCCTGTAAAGTCTCGAGCCAAGCATAAGGCGAATTACGTGGACTATAGCCTGGAAGGCGAGACGGACCGACAGGACAGATTTGCGTCGCCAGTTACTTCATTTCCCACTGCCAAGGCAACTACTGTCCACCTCGAGCCTTGCGCCACCCTACACCTGGCAGACTAAACAAAACCCTCCAAGGTAAGCGGTGACCAGGCATACGTAGCACGTGCCCAAGCCAACGCAACTTATTCAGTCCTATCTGTTGTTCAAGGGAATGAGCATGATTATCACCATCTAATACGCGCCTACGCACCTCATCGTTGCGGACACGCTGGTGCCATCCGACAACAGTAATGCTCCGCAGACAACGATGATCAAAGACTAGAAGGCGCCTAAGTTCCTCAGATCGAAGGCTCCAAGTTTCACTCTCATAGAGTAGGACGGGGTTCACTGTGGTCTTATAAATAAACATGGTCTTATGAACCGAAGGAAACTCCTTTCGGTCGCCAAAGATGTGGCAAATTCAAAAAGACAGTTCTGGTCTTTGCAATGTGTGAACTGACTTCAGTACACACGCGCCCATCGTTGCTGACGCAGCTGCCAAGTTAGGCAAATTGATCAACTATCTAGAGTTCTTTGACATCAAGGTTCAAGAGGTCACCAAGTGGCTGGTGGCTCTGCAGCTACCCTTCGCGCTTCAAAAGTGCAAAGCGTATACCAAATAATGAGGCCACTCTAGACAGGCTATTCAGGGTTGATTGAGTCGCCCCAACATCGCCAAAAGGCAAGACGATATCATCCGCATAACCAAGACAAAATAGCCTTCTGCCAGGTAACAGCTCAACGCCAACATAGTGAGAGTCCGCAAGGGAACACTCCATGATAGAGTCTACGACGAAATTGACCAAATGGGGAAATCGGACAACCATGACGAACGCTACTTGTTGTCGGAAAGCTATCGGACAGGTCACCGTAGACTCTGACGCGGCCTGTAGTGTTCGGGTATACTGCACGCCGCATGTTCACAGATTTCGTGGGAACACCATTCTGTGCAAGTGTTTCGAACAGAATACATCGATCGACAGAATCGAACACACTGTTAAAGTCCAGGAACACAGTTATTGTCGGTCCGCAGCATGCGTGGTGCTGTTCTAGCACCTGCCGCAGAGTGATTATAAAGTCTATACAGCCCCGACCTAAGAGGAAACCTGTCTGCTTTTCCTTAGTCCGGGATTTCCATGCCGCAGTTAAGCGACGAACGATAATTGAGGCCAGTCATTTTGTCACTACGGACGTTAAGCTAATACGCATGTGGTTAGCACAGTCGGTGCGACTGCCATTCATGTAGGTGGCCACTATAATCGATTCAGTCCAGTTATCCGGGAGGGTCTCCTCCTTCCATTTATTACTTATGAGTAGGATTTTGGCGAGTACTTTTGTTCGTTGCAGTCAGCCGACAATTCAGATAAGTCAACTATCCATCCGGAAAAACACCAGACGGCCGCCTCGCCCTATTGGGGCCAGTCAGTGGTGCGCATCCTTCGGTCTTCTACGGAGGATCGAACCCATGACTGCTAGTGGTTTGTGCCAACTAGCCCGCAGTTTATGCAACTGAACCATGGCTGACGGCAGCCGTAATTGGGAGGCCCTGACGCCGGAAGGCCAACTGCTGTCGTCTGCATGGCAGTGGAGGATGGGTCGGGCTATATCGCAGTTAGCTAACAATTCGTGATGGTCGGCTGCCGTCCTCCATGGCTCAGCTGCATAAGCTGCGGGCTAGTTGGCACAAGCCACTAGCAGTCATGGGTTCGATCCTCCGCACAGGACCGAAGGATGCGCACCACCGACAAGTCCCAATAGGGCGAAACGGCCTTCTGGAGCTTTTCCGGATAGGTAGTCGACTTATCTGAATTGTCGACTGACTGCGACGAACAAAAATATCCTTCCATATATGCTCGAACAGGGTGGTCAGTGCATTGCAGAGGACCTCACCGCCATAGTGAAATAGTGCAGGTAGGAGGAAATCCGGACGAGCAACACGAAAACGATTGAGGGGGCTTCGAACCTCAGCCCCTGATGGAACTCCTAAACTAACCGTCCATGGCTCATGCTGCATCATCTATGGGAACAGGTCTTGAAGAAGGGTGCCAACTGAACTGATCTTGAAAGTTTCGCCCAACGAGCCATACGGCGCTCCTTATCGTGTACCAGGGCACCCGCGCTGTCTCTGACTGTCTCACTGACGCCTGGAACCAGAGGTGCGGATCAGCTGGGAGAGCTTGAGATAGTTCTCTACTGCTTCCGCCTCCTCCATTTCTTGAACCCGATTGCTCCACTAGGCTTCCTTGCGATCTCACTTGTTAGGCATAGTACGACTCTCTTTTACGGCAGTCAGCTGTTAGCTCTCTGGAACGATGTCCATCCGTTACTGGGGACTCAGCGGGCGTGCCACTGTTTTCCACTGTTTTCCTTTTCTTGTCTTTTGTGTTGCGGCACAATAGCTGAGGTGTTTTCCACCTCCAGCTAACGTGTAATGATGATGATGATGATTCCTTGCTAGCACATAAGCTCCGCTTTAGTTCGCGCCTAATAGCCCGTCTGGTCACATTGTGCTCAGAGCCAGTCGGGAGGTTTCTTCTGGATTCCAACAGGTGCACCGACCTCTCGGATATCCAGTGACTAGTGCGGTGACGATGGATAGTGCCACAAGCAGATAAGCCTGCGTCGTGCATTGCGGCCGAGACCCTATTCCACTGAAGCTGTGTCATTAGGACAAGAAAGCGAAAGTTCGGTACGCAGTGTTTCATGATAGGCTTGTCGGACCGAGGACTGAGACAAGTTCTCAGTTGCCAATCGGAAGAGACGCTTGGTGCGCCTCCCGGTAAATTCATGGAAAAGCGACAGCGTACCAAGGCATGATTAGAGTCGACGCAGGTATTGCAGAACGACAGTCCAGGATGGAACCACGCCACCCGTAACATATGGTAATGTCATCTATTTGGGTCCATCACTGGTCAGCTAAAGGAGGACGCCAAGTGGCACTTCTGCGCGCATTGTGCCTAAAAGCGGTGCTTTGCGCACAGTTGCAAGGGACGCTAGCGGCTGTCCGTACGGTCGAAGTTAAGTCCAAAGTTACCATCTAGCTGAGCCCCTGAAGAACTCACAGGACCTACTTGTGCATTCATACCCCCTAAAACAACTACAATATCAGAACTGGCAACAGTGCGTAACAGGGTGAACAGTACATGGTAGGCGTGCCTGGCAGCATTAGAAGTGCAAACAGCGTCTAGAGCTTTCTGTGAAGATTCGTCAAAGGCAAACAGCCACCACACATTCAGGAAAGTACTAGACGACCGATTCGTCTTAATGGGACTCGTTAGTAGTGCGCATTTGTCGAATTAAGCCGGATTCGAACCCACGATTTTACTCTTGCAGGCCAACGACTTATGTCACTGATCCGTGGGCAACGGCAGCGGACCGGCATGACTGATATCTAACTGCGAAATGGCGCCCCTCATCCTCCACAGTCATGCATGGTATGAACGTGCACAGAACAGGGTTGGCTCCCAGAGCCACGAATTCTTTTGCAAACCGCCACCAATCGAGGTGGCACGTAGGCTGCTAAGGCGACTGCTGATTATTTGTAAGTAGTAGGGGGTCTTATTTGGGCTAGTGCTACTTCGTGAACCAACGTTAGTTGATGTTGTCAAACGGCCAACGATGACTCGGCCTTAGGGCTGAAAACGGTGCCCATCGCAGCTTGACCAGTACCGCATCAGCGCCTCCGGATGCGTGTAACCAAGAGCAGAAGGACAAACCGGGTACAGTTAGTTCAACAACCCCGTGAGGATTATTGATCCTAGTTTCGGACACACCATACAAGCCAACGTGCGTGCTAGTGCAACCTGTTGACTTAATCGTCTTAGAGTGCGAATGATGAATGCCGCCAGGGAAACGGGACTGCGTGGCCTTATAAGGGGTTATTGGCGATAGGCGTCCAGTGGGTGATGCGGGAAAGTAGCTGCATTGTGTATGATCTCAGTGTTAGTGGGGCTGCTATCAATTAACCTGGGAAGTATAGAAGGTCAGGGGGCTCGGGAGGGCAGTAGGAGAAAAAGATGGAAGAAGGGAAGCGCCAGTAGTAGCATGTTTTCGCTTATTCGCCCAGCTGTATGCAGCAGATAGGGTGATTCTTGATAATACTTTGGCTCAGAAACCTTGCGCAAGGCAATTGTAAGGTGGAAATTGTTTGTTTTACAGAAATGGATGCCATCCGATTTTTAACTCCAAACTAGAGGACCAGGAGGCTGAGTATGTATGACCTCTAACAATTGACCAACCTAGTAGCAGAGGCTCTCAAGGGGCCTGGAGCATCCCCCGCATAGCCCAACAGGTCGAAGAGGTACGCAAACCGTCGCATAGCGTTAAGATAAAGTGTCGTTGCGATGGAAGTCTTTTCGGATCACACAAAATTTGAAACGACAAGTGAAATCATGGATGAGGCCCATTGTTTTAGATAGATCACTCGCTGCCATAAGCAGTAGTAGTACCAAAGTGAGCTCGTTCCAAATAGGGCGAAACAGACGAAAATAAAACCAGAAAATCTGTGTAAAGGTTGTGTGGCGAAAACTTCCCAATGTTTGTGATCCCAGTATAAAATGATGCCCGTAGCCAGAAGCAAGCTTACCAGATTCGGTGGAGGTAACACCTTCCACTGTCCCGGTCACATCCTGTTCGGTCTCTGCGTAAGCCAACAGTAGTGCTCGCTGTAATTCGGTTAAACGCCTAAAAAAAATAGGACTTAATGAAAGGAGCGAAGTTGTAAAACTCACTGGTCTACTAAAATAAGAAGCGTTGAGCAAAAATAAACAACTAACAAGTTGACTGAACAATCTAGAATGGTCCTCAGCGGCACTGTGAAGTCAAAAGCAGTCCTATTCCTTCGGGTTTACACTGGATATATATATATATATATATGTATATATATATATATATGTATATTTATATATGTATATATATATATATAATATCCAGTGTAAACCCGAAGGAATAAGACAGGGAGGCATGTGGATTGGAGCCACGTTTCATCAACGGAGCCGGCCCACACTTCTTCACATGCAAACACAAACACGCTGTATTTGGGGAATCAATCGCACACAAGGCGGTGGCTGGACTGTAATCCGCTCCACACTGAGTGCATGGGACCGCTTTTCGAGCCTAGCACGGGCACAAGGATCGTGCACCCCGTCCCCTGCAGCAACCATCAACTGTCTCCTGGAGCCACTATGAACGAGGTAATGGGCAAGAGACAGGTAGGCACCTTGTCAACATGCACATCAAGCGCAGCCACACCGGGGATATCAAGCAACAGCCAATCACTTGAGAGAAAGATAACAAGGAAAATAAATCGATTAATGCATACAGATACGGTGGCGTAACTCTTCGCTAAACTAGCATACGAAGTAAGCTGGTTTGCAACGAATCCGCGATAAGGAAAAATGTCCACAAGTTACTTAAAATGCTACAAACGCAACGAAGTTATCGAATATAAGTGCAATTAGCGTACGCAACGTGGCCAGTTAATAGAAGATTATTCAGGTAGGCAGAACAAAGCAAATAAAGTGAAATGAAATGTAGCCAGCTTAAAAATACCTAGTTTAAGTGGAAGTTGGTTTAGCCCAACAGCGGTGAAGAAGCATCAAGAATGCCACATCAGCCTCAGCATATATATATATATGCTAGAGGGAATAACTGACAGATATACATCGTGCGGTAATGTTTGTATTGCAAGTAGGGGGTAGGACAAATAGGCACACACCTGGGGGGTTGAACTTTGATGTGTAAATAATGATCTCCGTATCCGTATCCATTGACTCGACTGATACCCTTGCCTGGTAACCGGATGCGATCATGACTTGCAGAGCCGGGCGGGATCTGTTATCACCAAAACGAGAGGCACAAAGGGGGGGAAGGAGAAGAAATATCAAGTAGGGGGATGTGAATGGGGCACCAACAGGCTGCTGAATGTTCTTGCAACGTACTAGAAATGTAGTACAAAACAGGCAGCATAATAGAGAAGCGAGTAAATATCCACAAGGAGTACTGTCATCGCAAATAGAAGTCAGCTTTGGAGGGACACACCGTAACTGGTTTGCTGCGTATGCGCAACGAACTATGAGAAGCAGTGTCTCAGTCGAATGATTCGCAAAAACACGTTGGGCGAATCATACTGATCGATGTAGCGCAAAGTTTGAAAACTACCGAAATGAGCAGCAAACGTAAGGATGGGTTGAAGATTAACACCAGACAAATGCTTCCCCTTATAAAGTAGGGAGAATGAACACTTGTTAATATCATAGAGCATATGTACTTAGAGAAGTTCGGAAGCGAGAAACCTAGCGCTTTTCTTGAAAAGAACAATTTCACAAATATGTGAATCAGAACGCGATTATGGAAACACTAAGTGGAATGATGCGAGTGCATTCAAGTTGGTTCAGTTTAGCTGAGAAATTATGGCCTGTGTACCAAAGTGCGGCCCTGACTTCAGTTCAAAAAAGATAAGTGTTAGATTTGCCTCTTTTTATGCGATTTCGGTTGAACTGCAGGCTCAATTAGCAGCAAAAATCACCGGTTAACGCTTGGATGCAAGAGTGTGGGGGAGGAGCTACCGAAAAGGATAAAAGTAGTGTTTAATCCATGGATATTTGTGAGCCAATCCAAGAATTTTCACATTGCATAACAGTTCTGCTAGCCAATAGGAGGTAGGTACATACGTCACATGATGGACGTGAAGGTGCCTGAAACGATTTGGTGCCTCTGACTGTACACTACCGGCTGAAATCAATTTCCCATTGAAATAATTAGTATCCTGGGGAGGCTTTACTTTCGGATGATAAGTATAAGAACGCCGATAATTAATAACAATTCAAAAGGAACGGACAGATGGTGTAGTTAAGGCAGATACAATGGGGTCACTGAATTCACTACTGCGACAAGCTACCTAACCGCAAGGCAGCAACCTAACCCAGCGAATCTTTCCGTGAGAATCTCCATGTGCCACTGTAGTGCAATTGGCAGGTCACCTCAGTTTCGTTAAACCGAATGTAGTAACGATAAACAATACGTGAAATGAGAAAGCCGGTGATTACATGCTAGCAGATTTGAGGAGAACAAAATCAAGCTCTGAAGAGAATTTGGAGCGAACGGAAAGCTGCTCGGGATATGTAAAATTCCGATTTTTGAATTTTAGTTCCCAAATGGTGATACAACTTCAATACCGGAGTAAATTATAATGTGTTGTTATTGTGATTCGCATTTGAGAATACGGGATATGCGGATGCAGTGTGTAAAGAATCGCGAACAATTGCCACCATAACAGGCACTTACAGAGACAAGCATTGTCTCGTAAATTCCGGGAACTCGGATCTTTCCGCCCAGTGCGGCTTGAGCGAGGGAGATGGTAATATCTGAGTGAACGTCAGCGCCGTCACGTCGAAACTCTCGACTCCGATCGACACGTATCTGTACAAACAATTCCTGGGTTTCTCTTCTAGAATCACCAACGGCAACTCGGAGTACTTGGCCGTCCTCGACTCCTGTAAAAGTATGAAAAATTTAGTTTAAAATAGTACGCGGTAAACAGAAAGTTTGAGTAAGTAATGAGACACATTTAGACAGAATTTAGTTGTGCAAGCTGAGTAACTGCACAACTCACAAACCGCCTTCGGTCCCCCAAGTAGGGTATTGATGCTTCACAACCACGAAACCGACAGCCTCTGTAGGAGAGCTAGGTAGGATACTGCCAGGTCTTCCGCACCTATACAGGTTCAGATCAGAAACTGAACCATTACGCCAACGGTCAGATTCCGATTTCCAAAATTCACAGCATTCTCCATGTACATAAGCATACATGTTAACCCCTTAACGCCGAATGTCGCAATAAAGCCGCAAACCGTTTCTTTCGCAAATTCAACTTAAAGTACACATATTTTCTACAGTGCAGGTGTTGGCATTTTCGGGACCTACATTAGATTCGATTTGTATGACAGTTCATCTCACTTCGCGTTTGACTTGAAGGTACAACTACTTGAAAGTAGTGTGTGAACGTGGATTTGAGGTGAGTTTCGGTTCCTGGTCGCGAGGACATTTCAAAATTGGAGGTAGTTACGCGGAATCAAATAATATTTACTCGCTCATTGTTCACTGATACTGCTAATTTACCGGAGTGAATTACATGAGGTGGAAAGTTTAGAAGATATTAGCAATAGTACGAGATGCAGCTTTTTGGCTACATTCAGCACTGTTGGTGGTAGCATATGAAAGATGCCGTGTTTATGTTCATAGTCTTATAAATGGAATTCCAGTGCACAAATTTCAAAGTTTCAGAGTCTATCAAGTCCAAATGATAGCGGTTGACGAGCAAATGATCTCATTCAAATGGAGATGCAGTCTGAAGTAATATATTCCCAGAAAACCATATAAATAAGGTTACAAAATCATTGTGCTTTGCGGAGACACAAAAGGAATTGTGCATTCATGTGATATATTTACAGGAAAAATTAATCTTCTTCCTGGTGAACTTGACATCGGTGCAAGTGGAGACATGGTTATACAAGTTGCACAAGTTGTTCAGGCCAATATGAACACTTTATTATATTTTGATAACTTCTTGTCCTCATTGCGATGAGTTGTTGCGATTGCGAAGAACGGAATAGCAGCCCTCCGACAGTAGAGCAAAATTGCCTACAAGGATGCAGTTTCAGTGAAAACGCAGACATGAAGAAAAGAGCAGAAGGACATTTGAAGAATCGCAGATACCATGAGTCGTTTATGCCCTGGAAGCATAAAGCAAGGATACCAGAGGTCAAATCACGATGCCGACCTGGCGGCCTTTGAAAATGCACTCCGGGAGTGGTGCAAAAGACGCGGGATTATTTCGCATGGAAGAATTCTATAACCCAGTCGAACCCAGTGGTGTTCATGCTAAAATGTCAACAACTCAATCGAAAGAAACGGTGAAAACTAAGTGCCAGACCATCAGGTTGCGGTATCCATCACTAATGTGGAAAGGTGTAAACCAGTTTCCAGCTGTCGAGAACTCAATGAGTTTCGCCAGTAACTTTAGTGATGCGGATAACCAGTAACCGCGTGGCGGTGTCGCCCGCAGTATTCGCAGTACCAACGCACTCTGATTCTATGAGTAACCTACTAGGTTGGTGAGTTTTAACACAGCCATCGATTTTCTGACTGCGATGAAAAGTTAAATTCAATCCAATCGATCTGGAGACAAGCAGGGGATAATTGCAGACATTAAAAGTCGAAGCAAGGAAGTATAACTAAAATCAATGACTAGGTACTGCTGCTTCATATCGAACAGTTGTGTGATCAGTCTGGCCGAAGATGAGAAAATCGAACGGAATGCAGTGCATCATATGCTTGGTTGCAATGTCCCGGTCTGAACACCATAGTGCTCAGCCCGACCCAACACATCCTTGTCAAAGAATAACGAGCAAGGTAGACAGCTCTGGTTCTCAGCGGGTTTTCCGGAAAACTCTGAAAAAATGTGCCGCGATTCAGTTGGATCATGACCCTACTAATACACTAGGGAATGTTTAGCAGAGCCAACCATTATTCGAACAAAGAGAATCGAGTCATAAAAGGTATAGCTAACTCAAGAAAAGTGGAAACACAAGGTTTTCCCAATGCACTACTTGGTCATCATCATCATCATACACGTTAGCTGGAGGTGGGGAACACCTCAGCTACTGTGCCGCAATACACAAAAAAAGGAGAAAAAAGAATCCAACTGGTGCAAGCCAGCTGAGCTATCGGTAACGGATGCGCATCGTTCTGGTAAACTACCAGCCGGCTACTGTGCATTAAAAAAGATTACTATGCAAAATTATTTAAGGCTAAATAATGAGATCGTAGTTGAAGGGAGAGGCTAAAAGGGATGGGGTGGGACAAAGAAACTCACAGCACGAACGCCACTGAGGTCGGCTCCTAGCCATATCAGCAAGTGTGTCCAACCAAACGTGTTCATCGTCTTTCGGACCCCAACCAGGGAGCCGAGACGCTCCAACCGAGGCCAGCTCAGAAGTGAGGGCCTTCATTCCTCTTAGGTCCAAGACTACCATGAGCTTGTGCAACAATGGGATTGAGAAGACCCACGTAACATTGCTCAAGCGCTCCCGAGTACAACAGCTGCCAACCAATGCGAATGAGGCACCATGTGTAACATTTGAAACGTATACAAAGGAGCACCCAGAAGACCGGTGGTATCCATCCCAGGATTTCCCTGAAGTTTTATGCTTACCCGAGAAGCTGATACGCATGAAAGATGTCCCATCCATGGGTGACGAAATGTCACTAAACGAATTTTCAAGCACGACGGACTAGCTACCATACCAGGATCCTAATCCTGCATTGACGGATAGCAATTTTATGGAGGACAACAACGAGTTATGCAAGAGAAATGGCGTATTTCTGACGCGATCCAATGATGACAAATTAGGAAGATCATTTTAAATAGTTACTTGCAACCGCCGAGTAAATTGAGCCGTTGGAAATAGATACAAAAGCGACCTAATGGCAGGTATCAACTCGAGAGAATCGCTATACTCGCAGCAATACACATACAAAAAAGCGGAATCTTTCAGCATAAACACCATGGTGAGATTGGACCATAAAGAAACAAAGATAATGTTTTTCTACTAATACTGGAGGACAAAGACAGACAACTCACAGCACAAGGAAGATGCCACGAGGTGGTCGCTAGCAAATTCGTGACTGAGTTCCGTGAATGATCCTAATCCAACAGCAAAACCACTCACTTACTAGGTCACTTGATGTGAATAGGTAGGCCAGTGGGTACTGACATTGAAGCTATGTAAGCACAGAACTCGCACTACCCAGATATGGAACCAAAAATGATAATCGGTTAAGTTAAATACAGGTATAAACTGAAGGAACAATTCCTGTGTATCAAAACGCGATGACGCCCTTCGATCAGTTGACCAGGCTTGTTCACATCAATGTGTAAAAGCAACCCCACTTCTTCTAGCATCAAGCTAAATCGTATCCAACCTATAAAATAAGAATGCACATGAATGTGGTTGTTTCTAGTAAAAAAGATAACAGACTGACAAAAATTGCAAAAACCCAACATTCCTCATACCTGAAGGTATGCTAAAGGAGATACTTAATGGACTGAGATCAACGCCCCGAAATCACGTGTTGTTCAGCGTTAGCTTGGTTTTTCCCTGCCACCCACCGATACTCTTCATCGAAAAGCCCAAAACCAAGTTCACCAACGCCAAAAACACTGCTCTTACCCCTGCCGTTAACACTACAGATTCGTAAATTCTCTATATTCACATTCACGAGTTTGAACACGTGATGTGCAAATGCAAGGGGCATCGGCGGTAGACCGGTACGCAGTACCGACGCTTCGCTGCCGCGCAACCACCACCAGTTACATGTGGGCAACTACTACGACATATTTCTGACGATGGTGGGATTTCAACAGAAGAGCTGAAAGCTATTTTGCTTCAACAGCAGCAATAATTCGAGGCCTCACAGCTGCGTATGATAGAGGCTTTCACTCGGACACTGTCACTCCAGTATACAGCCATCGCTTCGGAGCAAATGCAGATGCTCCCTCACGTCCAGCAGTCAATGTTTGAGGAATCACGACGGAAACTGACAGAGCGGCTGACACAGAAGTTGAACATTCAAGCAGATTGTGAACTGGAACTAGAAATCATATCAGAGCACATTGCAGGTAAATGTTACGAGAAGCTCAACTTGGCATTAGATACCACAAAGGTTGAAAATTCAAATGCCAGATGTGGGCTCCAGATCCACCACACAGCTAATGGAGGCAACAATGTGAATCAAAACGTGCCGAAGCAAAAGTCCTACACTGCGATTATTGCCACACTGCGCAGGGATCAAAGAAAACCAAAACGTCCTTTGTCGGCCGGTGGCCGAGTGGTCTGCACGTTTGGTTTGCAACCATAAGATCACCGGTTCGAATCCGCGTAGGGGTGGGCATCCTCGCGGTATACTCAGCCCGCGCGCGACTGGTGGTGGTCGCGCGGCAGCGAAGCGCCGTTAAGGCATACAGTTGACACATTATTATTGTGCTAGACCGAGAAATTGTCTGAGAACCGAAATGCAAGGGTCTGCAATACTGTGCAACGGTCCAGGTACACAGAACGACAGCCCCCAAAATAGTGGTCACTGAGCAGCTACGAGAGAGATATACAGCAGTTTTTCGGGAAGGCCTTGCAACACCAATGGTTGATCAAGAGCTTACTCGCTTAGTGAGTACTGTTCTCCACCCGGTAAACCACTCACTTTGGGACCCAGGAGGGACCTAATGTGCTTTGACCATTGGCCACAAAAGGGAACGGACTTGCAGCCATGATGATGCACTGATCGGGTGTGGAGACACGTCATCAGAATGCGCCTGGACCCATGACGGAGGTCGCGCGTCATTTTGCGCGAGGGATGTGTTACGGAGAGTCAGCGTTCAGGCCGAGAGCAGTGCCGCAACACTGGATCGATCCACAAGTAGAGGTCGAACGCGACTATGGATCAAAATGCGAATCTATGAGGAATCAACGGCAAGTCGGACCATGAAGTTGAACTGTTTGAGTTGTGTTTATTAATATTAATTAGCATCTCCAATTTTGTTGTGTTAGTGGTTTCCTACAACCTATTTATTGCACCATGCTTTCATACAATGGAAATCAGAATCCGGAGCGCTCGAACCGGGTGGTCTTGGTGTTCTCATCTTGTGGGGGTTGAAATGGTTGGGGGTGGCACAGTAGATTCAGGCAGGTTATCCGTAAAGCCAGCAGAAATCACAACACATTCCTGGCAACGGTTAGATCCACGGTAGCAGCAGACTAGCCGTACAATCACCGGCACTATAACACAAGGATCGACCGATCTATATGCAGGCTCGAATCCGCGTCCTTAGATTACAAGACACGCTTGTGTATCTGAAGGCTACGGGCTGGCTTGCGAATGCAAGTTCCTTTTTCTACCAATTTCGTACAGATGACAAGAATGAAAAGCATAATGCTGCCACGCCTCAGGCGTAATACCGTTTAACAGATGCTTGCTTGCTTGGATTGTTTATGGCACATTGTCATAAGCAAGATCGCCGTGTACGTCATGATTTGTCCCCGAAAGGAAACAGACCTTCGCATTTTTTAGAAATGAATTATTATTACTATTGTTATTGTGACGGTTTACATGAAGGTCAGTTAGTGCGTGATGAGTGTCTCAGCATGCAAGAAATTCCTCTGGATGCTAGTCACCACAATTGGTTTGGCACCCGAGTATCCGTCTTGATAGTAATAGTAGAACGGAGTAAACATACCCAAGGAACCAACCATTTACGTGAATGAAATGGACGCCATTGCACAAGTCGTTTATGTCCCTCTGCCAAAAGCCTAAAACGAAAGGGACAAATCGTCGTGAAAACACAAGGCGATCAGGTGGCAACCAGTTGTGACTTGTACGGATCTATGGTGCGGCCGTTAATGCATATGACTTGCGGCCTAGGTAGCTCCTGGGTAGTACCTAAACCCAAGTACAGCCGTTTGGGATGGTATGGCAGTGAGGCATAGGCACGTGATATTGATGCACACGGCTGATGCCTATTTACAGTAAGCAAAATTCATGGTTTCTGACAGCAAAATATGGGAAGTCTCGTAGGCAACCAACTTTGCTTAAAAGGTACTCAATATCTACGCAATGAGGTGAAAAACACCAACCTGCGGGAATCGCTATGTTGACACGTTGTCTGGCGATGACTTTTCCTTTGCCTTCGCATTCGGAGCAAGGGTAGCGAACAATGGAACCACTGCCCTGACATCGCCGGCACACTGAGCGTAATAAAAACGGGCCAGTGTTGAGGTTCTCCGTGCCTGTGCCTTGGCAATTTGGACAAATAGAAGAACCAGTGCCCGGCTCGGCTCTGGAACCGCCACAACGTTGACAATTTGTCGGCATGTTGACGCTGATCTCCTTGTTCACCCCACGTGCAGCCTACGAAAAAGAGAATGAATGAGGTGTAGGGTAATCTCCGGGATAAAACCCGGCCATCTATGGACTCACAAAAACAAATAACTGAAAACAATAAAATGGAACGCAGTTACATTGATACAAGCGCAGAATTAATAAGGGGTGCACTTTACGCTGACAATTGCATTACAACCGATGACTTGTCACCACAATGTGGACATTGCCCAAGATCACCTGTTTCATCAAAAATATCTAGCACGGTGACAAAGGCTCAGCTGTTCTCTTTGCTAGGATTATAAACAAATGGTGTTCCGCGCCACTAAACCGGTGTTACGCTCACAATGAATCACACCGAACTCGCATAAGTGAGTTGAGTTGAGAAAAGCATTACACACCTACTGACGAGCGATTAACTAATGTTCGCAAAACACGAGACCTTCTAACAAAATCCAGGTCAAGAGATGCTATAACGTAGCCCGTTTTATTACTGTTAAAGTCTACACATGCGGAAGTAACGCTAGCCTGTGAACGCAATAATGGCTCTTAGCCGAACGACGCAGAGACAACAGAATACGTCTAGCTGGCCGCGTGTAAATGTGTATTTTGACCAGAAGGGGTACAGAGCATCGGTTAAGTAACTGAAGCAACCAACCGTGAGTGAACAATCGATAGATAGACAAGCGCACACGGTCGATGCTGGTGTGAATGCTGATTGGAGATGGTCACTCCCCCAGACAGCCTGGTAACGAGCAACTGCATGACGGACTCTAGCCGAACGGCGTATTAGTTGAGCTTCCGGCTGGCTTGTGGTCTATGTGACCTCCGCGACCAATGGCTCAGTTGACGGGTTTGGTCATATGTCGTCTGGCTCGGTTGAAACGGAACGACGGCGGGCGTGATCCACAACCCTGCCGTCCGGTAGTGCAACCTCCGCTCTCTGGCGTTCCATTTCGCGTAATTCTGCAGGTTGTCAAGTCGGTTCGTGGGGCAGTTCGAAGTAAACTGGCTCGTCCTCACGAATTTCCCGATCTGATGCTCGTCGATCGTACTTCTCTTTCGATTGTTCTTGCCGCATCTCGACGCGTAATCGCTAGTAAGAAAAGAGTAGGTTTAGCCGCGTCCTAAACATACGGCCAAACATTAGTTCGCCTGGACTCTTGCCTGTTGTTTCACTTGGTGTGGAGTAGTAAACGAATGGGAATTTGTCCAACTTCGGAATGGAACGGGTGATTGTTTCTGAAACCCGTTTTTTACTGTCTGGACTGCTCTTACCGCTAGTCCATTTGAGGCTGGGTGGTAAAGGGCGGTCTTCACATGGCTGATGTCGTTATTTTGTAGGAACTCTTGGAACTTGACTAGTGAATACAGATCCGTTGTGTCACTAGTGTTGGCGGAATACCGGATGTGCTACAACATGTACGCATGCAGGAAACAGTTGTCTCGGCAGTGGTGTGTGTCAGCGAAAATATGCATCGACTATGAGAAGTAACATCTTTCCAGCAAGCAGACCAAAGTAGTCTGCATGTATGCGTTCCCATGGCTTGTCTAGCCAGTTCCATGGACTCAGTGGCACCGGTGGGGTGTTTCTGCGTATGCTTTGACATGATTCACAGTGTCTGATTAACCTTTCTATGTCGCTATCAATACCGGGCCATCACACATAAGACCGCATGAGCCATTTCATTCTGGTGATACCTGGGCAAGCTTCGTGCAGTGCCTCCAGCACATAATGTCGTAACCGAGGCGGTATAATAGCTCTGTATTCCCATAAGAGGCAGCCATCCCCGATACTTAGTTCTGTACGCATGTGCCTATTGATGGTTGTCACCACCCTAGCGGATTCATACAGATCTACTTGTAAGCGTGGCTTAAATCAAGTTTGGAAAACTTCTGTCCACCTGACAGTTGCGCAAAGGTCATCAATCCGCGTAATAGGATAGCGTTCTGAAGTCGCCGCTTGGTTTGCAGTCAACTTGTAATCACCAGAGATACGGACAGTGCCATCGGGTTTTTGTACTGGAACAACTGGCGTGGCCCAAGATGAGTATTATGTATTGGCTATAGTATTCCATATTTTGGAGGCGCTGCAGCACTAACTCCACTTCCGGACGGATAGCAAAAGCTTAGATGTTTGCCTTGAAAAATTTCGACTGAACGTTCAGTCTGATATTGAAAGATAATTTAAAATCACGCGGTTTACTTGGCGATTTTTCATCGAACACACAAGCGTCCATTTTCAACAATGAAGGAATGTCTGGAATATGGTCCACTTTTTGACGGTTTGAAGTAGTTCCGGCATATGTTTGATCCAGTCTTTACCAAGTACGTCCGGGTCATCTGTGTTAAAAACAATTAAGGGAACCACCACCGGTCGCGCGTGGGCTAAGGATACTGCGAGGGTCGCTCGGTCCCGCGGCCTCGGATTACACGGCAAGACTAAGAGTCTTAAGACTACTGGCCACTAGTCGCATCAGGCAGACAGCTTCATTGCAGCTTCCAAGGTTCAGCGTCATAACAAGCGTCAGATAGATATTAAACAAGCTAACAGGCTGGCTTGCCGAACAACCTCATCGTGGTGCCAGCTGGGTGGTTCGGGATTTTCCCGTTCCAGCAAATGGTTCGGCAGCAGTATTCCAGGACGTGGTGGGTTTTCGCCTGGCAAGCGTTCGCCCTATAAAAAGCCACATATGTCCGTTTAACAACACTGTGAGGTGGTGGACGTGACTAGCCACTAAATAAAGTCACTGCCCCTTGCTTCATCCTGCGAAGCATCGTATTCCAGCAACTTTATGCTGTAATTCTGAGGAGCAATGGGCCCCTGTTTGACAAAGGAACAAACGAAAGACGTATGAACTGAGCAATCAGTCACCGGCTCAAAATAGGCGCGATTCCCTGAATTCGCTCTGCTGCCTTGCAGGCAGGCTATTCAGCCAAAGGTTCGGGGAGGTGTCCTCTAAGTTAACACCCTACTTCGGCTTGGGCAACCGGGTAGTATCTCGCCCTCTGACGAAACCATGGACTTCGATGTTTTGTGTTGTTTCTTTTACTATTTCTGTACCCCATGGTTCCTGATGGCTTTATGTTTATTCGCAGACCCTTGCATATATATATATATATATATATATATATATATATATATAATTTTCACTTTAAACTGGGCATTTTTCAAACCACATTGGACATTGTGCAAACCAAACTGGATCTTTTGCAAACCAAACTGGACATTTTGCAAACCAAACTGGACATTTTACAAATCAAACTGGACATTTTGCAAAACAAATTGGACATTTTGCAAACCAAACTGGACATTTTGCAAATCAAACTGGACATTTTGCAAAACAAATTGGACACGTTGCAATCTAAGTAGCAACTTGCCAATTTGTCGTTAAGAAACGAGCAGTAAAACTGCTGAATGATGTTCAGAATATACATTGTGATGACTAGCGTCATCACCGGCATTGTGTAAGCAGCGGGCTACACTGTAAAACATTTGCTTGATCGTGAGCAGCGACCGAAGTTCTGAACTACGCTTCACTCTCCCCATTGACATTCGCCTAGTTGGTGTGCAGTGTCCATACGCATCAACCTGTGTAGGTGTGTGACAATTGGAAAATCGGACGTCCGAATCGTAATTGTGTATCAATCATTTTGTGAGTGGATTGCGATGCGCAATCTCAATGTGCACCGTTATTCTCATTAGAGGGAACCTTGTCCGATTCGGTCAATGGGACCATGGCGGATGAAGCAGGTAGGCGGTGTCCCAGCTTCGCCCGTCTCTCTATTAGCTTTCGCAACTGCCACCTTATTGTATCAGCGTAGGCTGTAATGACCCCCAGCAAAACCAGTCTCGATCTATAGCCTATTGTTGCAACATATAAACTACTGAGGAGTGGGCCGATTACACGATGTTCAGGCCACATTGTGGTCACGATAATGTAACCGAACTGCGTACGTAGCGCTTGATTGTGTAAGCTCTTCTCTTGACATGAGTGCCGTTCGCCTCGGTCAAAATCCGTGACCTATTTTCCCCTAACCCCCCCCCCGCCCCATAGGAATTCGTGTGTTTTGTCTGGGTGTGTGGACTGACCTATGCAGCGGTAACACTATTGGAGCGGAGCATACGATAATGGTTCCACTCAACACAACTTAGCTTTATTAGCTCCGTGCCGCATGAAACGACCAAAATGAGTGACGAACAACAGGAGAGCTGGTGTCCGACGCGACGGCACTGCAGGCGAACATCATTTGAAAATACGTGTTCAACCGGGTTTAGCATATACGAGTAGGGCGGCAAGAACTGCAGGTGATAAGACGAACCAAGGATCCTCCTTAGCTCATCAGGCATATGGATCCTGGCATTGTCCATGATCAGCCACGCGCCGTTCCTCTCCACTATGCAGCTTATACGCGCCACCAGTTCCTCGATGAACGCTGAGAACTTCGCACCATTGCAAGTGCCATCGTTAATGATCTTTGAATGGATGACGCCTTGGTTATTCATTGCAATAATCAGGGTTACCATGCGACCTCTGACTGTGGGTAACACGACGTTCGCGCGCGTCACTCTTCTTGAGCGAACCTGAGTTCGACTCAGATGAAGGTTGAAACCACTCTCATCTATGAAGATGCATTTCTTCTTGTTAGAAGGTGCATTTGCCGAGAACTCGAGAGCGTACGCTTGTCGGCTAGCGATTGTCGTGACACTGTTGACTTGGTCGAGCCCGTAATGACACTTTTTGTGAGTTATCTTTAGTCTTCTGAGGGCGTTGAAGACAGAGGATACTGATAGGTTTATCCCATTCTCTCTCAGGCGCATCTGCAGCTGCACCAACGTGTTCTCAGAGTGCCGTTCAACCGCTTCTTCGACGCGCTGCAATAATTGGGAGTCAGCTTCTCCCTATTGTTTCCACCGCAGGTGCACTCTGTATTTGAGCCTTCTCACTTGTAGGCATTAATGATGTTCCTTGCCGTACTCGCGTTAACACCGGCGACTTCAGCGGCTTCCCGGGTAGTTTTGCCGTCGA